CAGAGTTGACTGGGAATCAAGAAGCCGGCAAAGAATTCCGCAAGCGAGAAGTGTGAGAGAAGAAACTGTTAGCATAGAACTTACGGTTGCATCTAGCCATTTCAGCAATAAAAGTGTATGAGACCCATACCGATGTTGTTGTTGTTGATTATGGGGATGTTCATAATAATAATAATAATAATAATAATAAATCAAGCTGTCAAAAAAATAAAACTGAATAGAAAGTTTACTGCATCACTCTTTAAAGTAGAAAGATTTTTAAAAAGATAATCAACACCAAGCAATGTAATAAAGCCACTAAAACACAAGGGGGGTTATTGAGTGTGAGGGAGTAAGGAAAAAGAAAACATTACTAAGGAGAGAGTACAATAAAAGAACAGGAATTAAGAAGACAAAAGTTAACGATTGACATTGGCCTCCACCGTTCATCTCGAGGTCCTCGACAAAATCCAGTGACGGATATGCAATTTGATAGGTCCCAATCTAGCATCTTGTCTACAGTCACTTTCTCACAAATATTTTCATGGCAACTACTCTGACGAGATACTTTCACTGGTACCCAAACTGCATGAATTTAAGCGTGCTACTAGGTTGGCATCTTGGTCTCACACCTTCATTGTCGAAACGGTTAAATGTAGCCGTCTATTCTACTCCAACAGCTTCTTCTCTTGCATTTCCCGACATTGGAACTCCCTTCCACTTACTTGCTCCACTGATAGCTATTATTTTCAAATATTCAAATGTAATATCTGCTGATGCTTTGATCCTGATCCCCGTCCTTCTCTTTATCCTTTCCTCAAGCACCACCCTTTACTCTTGCTCCCACTCTCTGTGACCCCTTGCGTGCTAGTGGCACTCCCGCACTGCTTGGGGTGAAATGATCACAAAAAATGTTTCCTCTCTTTAATCTGATTATTAAAGTAGCCATTCTTCTATATTATTCTACCTCTGTTCCAAAATGATTGTTCCAAAATTGTCTAGGAAATGTGCACGTAAATGGAACAAGCATTATGGGACAGAGATGGAAATTCCCTTTCTCCTACTTGCTTCCCTTCAAATGTAATGTCAATCGACATCTTCTGATGCCTTTATACTGATCACTTTCCTTCTCTCTATCCTTTCCTCAAACATCCTTTTTTACTCTTGCTCTCACTCTATGTAACCCGTTGCGTGCTAGTGGCACCCCCACCTTGCTTGGGGGTAAAATGCTTAAAAATTAGTGTATTTCCAATAATTTAATCGTTTTCGTCATTTAAAAAATAGCAATAAAAGCGTTAGAATGTTTAAAATCATTCTTCATCAGACATATAAATCAATAAAAACTAATTGATCATATGTATATCAATATTTGATTTTCATGGCAACTGCTCCGACGAGCTACTTTTGCAGGTACCCAAACGGCATGAATTTAAACGTGCTACTAGGTTGGCATCTCAGTCCGACCCTTTCACTGTTGAAATGGTTAAATGTAGCCGTCTTTTCTACTCCAACAGCTTCTTCTCTCACATTTCCCGACAATGGAACTCCTTTTTCCCTTCTTGCTTCCCTGATGGCTATAATCTTCAAATATTCAAATGTAATGTCAATAGACATCTGATGTCTTGATCCTGATCCCCATCCTTCTTTATATCCTTTTCTTCAAACACCCCCCTCTTTATTCTTGCGCTCACTCTCTGTAACTTCTTGCGTGCTAGTGGCACCCCCACCTTGCTTGGGGTGAAATGCTTAAAAAAAATCTACCTAGTTACTTAGCTAGATAGCTGTGTGTGTGTGTGTGTGTGTGTGTGTGTGTGTGTGTGTGTGTGTGTGTGTGTGTGTGTGTGTGTGTGCATTAGTGCCTATGTTATGTATATATGCTAGTAAATGGGAAAAAAAAAAGCAAGGAGGTAAGCTTCCGGAAGGGTAGATGACACGAAGAGGAAAAATAGGCAATTGTGAGATTCGCCAGTAGATAAAAACACATCAAGTCTTGACGATAAATTAAAAATTCTCAATTTCCTATTTGAAGTCTCATTTTTTTTTTTAATTGAATGTCAATTTTAACGATCGTGAAAAAAAAATGATCTTTTAATCCTGTTGCTCCAAGATAATACACCTTGGTCCCTGAATTCAATCGAATCAGTTCGCTCGCACTTTAAATCTCACCTTAAACTGACACAATTGATGTGTATAGGGTTCATTTGTCGAAAGGTCGTTCTCTATTTTATTGGCAGAACCACTGCAATCTGATAAAACTTAATTGGCTTATCACAACGCGAAAGTCAATGAATCAGGTTCTTTTCCAATGATTTCGCCGATTAATTACTAGCTACCTTTTAATTAGGCTTCAATCCTGTCAAATGCTTTCGTCATCGTAACACATCGCATACTGAGACGTCGCCATCCCAACACCTTTATTAGCACAAGCAACAATAGTAGCTGAGACATGCAACTATCTAATTGGTTATTTCTACCTTTTCTTTTTAATCGTATAGACGTACATTTTCATCTCTCTTTGCGAATTTGAGTTACGATTGGACGAAGACACCTCGTCGTGGAAGAATAGCTTAGGAGGTAGCTTACAG